TCAAATAAATTGGTGTAGGAGACTGTCTTAGAGGTGCTGTCTACCCATTCCCCCAGACCTGGATTCCTAGGCCTTCCGTGAAGGAAATCCCCTTAGTACTTGGGGACCCCAGCGGGGATGTGCTAATCTTCCGTCTACCTCAAAATTCTGGACCTATTTGACCATCCTTTTTCACCCACCTAGAAAATGCTATAGGCTCAGGCTCTGAAACCTCCCATTTTTATCTCCCTTTTTTTTTTCTTTTTTTTTTTTTTTAAGAGACTGGGTCTCACCATGTTGCCCAGGCTGGTCTCAAACTCCTGGGCTCAGCCATGCATGGCGGCTCACGCCTGTAATCCTAGCACTTCGGGAGGCAGGCGGATCACAAGGTCAGGAGTTCGAGACCAGCCTGACCAACATCTGTACTAAAAGTGAAACCCCATCTGTACTGAAAATACAAAAATTAGCCAGGAGTGCGCCTGTAATCCCAGCTACTCAAGAGGCTGAGGCAGGAGGATCACTTGAACCCGGGAGGCAGGGGTTGCAGTGAGCTGAAATCAAGCCACTGTACTCCAGCCTGGGGGTCAGAGGGAGACTCCGTCCCAAAACACAAAACAAAACAAAAAACTCCTAGGCTCAAGTGATCCTCCTGCCTCAGCCTCTCAAAGTATTGAGATCGCAGGCATGAGCCACCACGGCTGGCCAATCTTTTGCTTTTTGTTGGTAATTTTGCTGTTTCAGACAGCCCCCAAGTAGTGCTGAAGCCCTGTCTAGTGTCCCCGAGTGCACGGAGGCTGTGATGAGCCTCACAGAGGAGGAAACCCGTGTGTTGGAGAAGCTACGCCCAGGCACGAGTCCTAGCGCTGCCGGCTGTGAGTTCAGTGTGAATGAATCAATGGCAAATAGAATACTCAGCAAGGTGTCTTTCAACAGAAACACTCATAAAGCAAGGTGATGCACTGACCTTGATGATTCATAGCCAGAGGCTCTCAGGTACCTAATGTATATATGTGTGTATATATATGTGTGTGTGTTTGTATGTATAATATAGATAGAGAGAGAGAGATAGACTTTTATTTTTGAGACAAAGTCTCACTCTGTCACCCAGGCTGGAGTGCAGTGGTGCAATCTCAGCTCACTGCAACCTCCGCCTCCCAGGTTTAAGCAATTCTTCTACCTTAGCCTCCCAAGTAGCTGGGATTACAGGTGCCCGCCACCACGCCTGGCTAATTTTTTTGTATTTTTAGTAGAGACAGGGTTTCACCATGTTGGGTAGACTGGTTTTGAACTCTTGATCTCATGATTCTCCTGCCTCGGCCTCCCAAAATGTTGGGATTACAGGCGTGAGCCACTACATCCAGCCTACATTTCCTTTTTTAAGACAGAGTCTCACTTCATCACCCAGGCTGGAGTGCAATGGTGCGATCCCGGCTCACTGCAACCTCTGCCTCCCGGGTTCAAGCAATTCTTCTACCTCAGCCTCCTGACCAGCTGGGATTACAGGTGCCTGCCACCACACCCAGCTAATTTTTACATTTTTAGTAGAGACAGCATTCCACCATGTTAGCCAGGCTGGTCTTGAACTCTTGACCTCAAGGGATCCACCCACCTGGGCCTCCCAAAGTGCTGGGATTATAGGTGTGAGCCACCGCACCCAGCCCCTAACCATATAATTTCCCTTAGAAGCAATTGTTTGATGTTCAAGGAACGTAACTGCCTCAAATAACAGGAGTTGAGTGTAACTTGTTTTTGGGGTTTTTTTTGAGACAAAGTCTCACTCTTGTCCCCCAGGCTGGAGTGCAATGGCACCATCTCGGCTCACTACATCCTCCGCCCCCCCAGGTTCAAGCCGTTCTCCTGCCTCAGCCTCCCGAGGAGCTGGGATTACAGGCGCCTGCCAGTACGCCTGGCTAATGAGTGTAACTTTTTCTTGTGAAGTAGTTTAAGACTCAGAAGAAGCTGCAGAAATGGTCCATAGAATCCCCTTGTGCCCCCACCCACATCGACAATGTGTAACAAAACTTTTGAATGTCACTGTCTACAAGCAAACATTAGCCACGCCCAGTTGGCAAGCTTTTGTGCTATGGTAGTGAGAGCTGACTCGTCCATCTTCTCACCATCGTGCAAGGTTAGGATGGCCTTTATGCTCTAACTAGACCTTCGTATTCGTTTTTCGGGGAGTCTGTAACAAAGTGCCACAAACTGGATGGCCTCGCACAACAGACTTGTATTCTCTCACTGTTCTGGAGGCCACAGCCTGAAATCAAGGTGTCAGCAGGGCCACCAGCCCCGCCAGATGCTCCAGGGGATACTTCATTGCTTCTTCCGCTTTCCAGTGGCCAGAAACCGGGAGAGACGTGAGATTTCAGAGCCTGAGCCTGCAGCATGTGCTGGGCAGGTGAAAGATAGGAGCCAAATGGGCCCAGAATTTTGGGGTGTCCAAGAAATCAGCATATCCATATGATTACATAGTACCTGGGATCTCCCAAGTACTAAAGGAATTTCCTTCACGGAAGCCCTAGATCTCCAGGTCTAGGGGAGTGGGGTGGGTAGGACCTCCAAGATGACCACTTACCCCAATTTACTTGATATATTCTTAGCCGGCAGTCCTTAGTGTTTGTTTCGTTTTGATTTAGATTTTGGAGTTTGGTTTGGTTTTGGTTTTTGAGACGGAGTCTTGCTCTGTCGCCCAGGCTGGAGTGCAGTGGTGCAATCTCAGCTCACTGCAGCCTCTCCCTCCCAGGTTCAGGCGATTCTCCTGCCTCAGCCTCTCAAGCAGCTGGGATTACAGGCATGTGCCACCACGCCCAGCTAATTTTGGTATTTTTCGTAGAGACAGGTTTTCACCATGTTGGCCAGGATGGTGTCAAAGTCCTGACCTCAGCTCACTTAAGACTCCACCTCCCAGGTTCAGGCCTGATTCTCTGCCTCAGTCTCCCAAGTAGCTGGGATTACAGGCACCCAACACCACGCCTGGCTAATTTTTTGTTTTGTTTTAATTTTTTTTTTCGCCTGGTCGGTGAGTACCAAAAATTTTTGTCTTTTTTAATAGAGATGGGGTTTCTCCATGTTGTTAGTCTGTTCTCAAGCTCCTGACCTCACGTGATCCACCCACCTCGGCCTCCCAAAGTACTAGGATTACAGGCGTGAGCGCCCGCGCCCAGCCAGTCCTTGGTTTCTTGACTTGTGGCTGCCTCATTCAGTTTCTGTTTCTGTCCATTTCTGCCTTCCTTCGCTGTGTGTCTATTTGCTCGCCACCTGAGGGCCCACCCCAATCCAGTATGACCTCATTTAACCATAATTACATTTGCAAAAAACCCCCTAATTTCAAAATGAGGTCATATTCTTTGTTCCAGGTGGTCGTGAAATCTGGGAGGACGCTGTTAAGCCACTACAATCATCAAAAACAGGAAGGGGGCCAGCACAGTGGCTCAGGCCTGTAATCCCGGCACCTTAGAAGGCGAAGGCTGGCGGATCAAAAGGTCAAAAGATCGAGATCATCCTGGCTAACACGGTGAAACCCCGTCTCTACTAAAAACACAAAAAAATTAGCCCAATGTGGTGGCACACGCCTGTGCTCCCAGCTACTCAGCTTCTTGGGAGGCTGAGGCAGGAGAATCGCTTGAACCCGGAAGGCGGAGGTTGCAGTCAGCTGAGATGGTGCCATTGCACTCCAGCCTGGGTGACAGAGTGACATCCCATCCTCTACCAAAAAAAAAAAAAAAAAAAAAAAAAATTAAAATTAGCTGGGCATGCGCCGTAAACCCAACTATGCAAGAGGCTGAGAGGGGAAGGTCACGAGCCCAGGAGGCTGAGGTTGCAGTGAGCTTTGATGGCGCCACTGCTCTCCAGCCTGGGCCACAGAGCACCACCCTGTCTATTAAAATATTAATTTAATTTCATTTAACTTTAAAAAAAAACAGGTCACCAAGAATACAGGAGATAACTGACTGGGCACAGTGGCCCACGCCTATAATCCCAGCACTTTGGGAGCCTGAGGCGGTTGGATCACCCAAGGTCTGGAGTTCAAAACCAGCATGGCCAACATGGTGAAACCCCATCTCTACTAAAAATACAAAAATACAAAAATACTAAAAATAAAAAAAAAAAAATACAGGTGGCGGGCACCTGTAACCCGGCTACTGGGGGGGCTGAGGCAGGAGAATTGCTTGAACCTGGGAGTCGGAGGTTGCAGTGAGCCGAGATGGTGCCACTGCACTGCAGCCTGGGCAACAGAGTGAGACCTTCTGTCTCAAAAGAAAGAAAGGAGAGAAAGAGAGGAAGGAAGGAAAGGAGGGAGGGAGGGAGGGATGGAAAAAGAAGGAAAGAAAGAGAAAGGAGAGAAGGTGAGGAAAGAAGAAAAAGAAAGAGTAAAGGAAGGAAAGAAAGAGAAGGGAAGAGAAAAGAGAATGAAGGAAAGAAAAGAGAAGGAAAGAAAGAAAAAGGAGATAGAGAAAGGAAAGAATAAGAAAGGAGAGAGAGAAAAAGGGAAGGAAAGAGAGAAGGAAGGAAGGAAAAAGAAAAGAAAACGCAGGAGAGGGCCACACACATATCTGGAGCGCACCCCCAATTCCTGGTTGCCGGCTGTCCCTGCAGTGCACACCATACCGTCTAGTCTGTAATAAGTGCGCAGTGGAGGGAGGTTCGTTGAACGAACGAATGAATGAACGGGCACCAGAAGAATGAGGTGGAGAGTGAAATAGGAAGGCTGGCTGTGTCCTGCCTGAAGGCGAGGACGGGCCGGCCACTCTGAGGCTCACCGGGGGCCTTGCCCCACCCCTCTAGGAGTTGGAGAGTGGCAGCAGTTGGAGGGAATTTCCCCTGGTCGAATCGCTCAAGTCCCTCCCCTCGATCCGATCCGCCGGACGTCCCCAGAGAGGGGCAGGCGGGTCCCCAGACAGGTTGAGGCACGAAGACGCTCCGGAGCCCTGGGAGGGGGCTGCCGTTTCCTTCCTCCTCCTCCTCGGCCAGCCGCGCTCTGCGCCCTGCCCGCCCGGCCTGCGCCGGCGGAGGTGGCCGCGATGCCCGAAGACGGTTCCGGCTGCGCGGGGCGGCGCCGGCCCCACGCGTGCGTCCTGCGCGCGGCTCTAGCCCTGCTGGTCGCAGCAGTCGTGGGGATCTGCATCGCCGTCTGCAGCTGGCGCCCCGCGCAGGTGCCGCCCGAGTCCCCAGGGGTGAGTTGAGATGGGAAGTTGGGAAGGAAACCTCCACCCGGGAGAGAAGCTGGAGAGGGGCGCGGGGACCGTGCGCCAGGGTGGAGACCGAGAGGCGCCTGGTGGAGAAGACGAAATGAGAATGAGACGGGGCAGAGAGGCCCGGGAGGAAGATCTGGTAGACCAGAGACAGAGACCGGAGCAGGGAGGCAAGGCGGGGGTTGGGGACCAGGCTGCCCGGGAGGCACCGGGGGATCCCGGGATGGGAAAGGGACGTGCACGTGGGCCTGAAAATGACTCGGCTCGGGTCTTCCCCCGGCAGGCTGACTCAGAGGCTCCTGGGGGCTTCACCAGGCTGGGTGTGGGGGCTTCCTGGAGCCTCCTACGACGGGAGGGTCTCCAGCCACTGGCCCCGGGGTGGGGAAAGAGGTTCCTGGGAGGCCCCGCCGGGCCGGGCGCCTTTGCAGCTGAGAAAGTCCGGTGCGCGCGCGCGGGGCAGGGGGGTTGGGTGGGGAGGACGGAGGGGGGGCACTCCAGCGCCCGGTGCCATCCAGGAAAACGATTCAGGAAAATAAGAAGTTCTTTTGAAGATCTGAACTTTACGCTCCCCGCTGGTTCAGACCTGCTTCCTCTTTAAGAAGTCTTCAGGAGAAAACAAATAAATAAAACTCACCTGTGCGCACGTGGGACGTAGGGGTGGGAAGGAGGATGGACGGAGGAAAGAGAGCCCCTGATTCAGGGGACGCAGAGAAACTCTCTGCTGATGTCCTTGCCCTGTTTTCTGGTCTTTTCTTCCAGTGGGACGTAGCTGAGCTGCAGCTGAATCACACAGGTAACGCGGGGGACGTTGGGGGTCGGGGAGAAGAAGAGAGAGAGAGAGAGAAGGATGGAGAGATAGAAAGATGAGGGAGGAGAGACAGAAAGAGACACAGAGAGACGGAGGGAGAGAGGGAGGGAGAGAGGGAGAGATAGGCGGGAAGAGAAACAGAGAAGAGAGAGAGACTGAGAGGGAGGGAGAGACTCTGAAAGGGAGGGAGAGACTCTGAGAGGGAAGGAGAGACTCAGAGAGGGAGGGAGAGACTCTGAGAGAGGGAGGGAGAGACAGCAAGAAACAAGGACAGGGAAAGAGACAGAAAGAAACAAACAGGCAGAGACCTAGGAAGAGAGAATGGGAAAGAGACGGGAAGAAGGAGGGAGGGAGACAGGTGGGGAAGACAGAGCGGGAGAGAGGGAGAGACAGACAGAAAAAGACAGAGGAGATGGGGAGAGAGTGAGGGAGAGACAGAGAAAAAGAAAAGAAAGGAAAAGAGAATGAAAATGAGAGAGTGAGGTCCCTGCACGGCGGCTGGTGGGGGGGGGGGGGGAGACACACACACACACACACACACACACACACACACACACATATATTACACACATATATCAGGGGTCAGAGAGGGTCAAGGAGAAGAGAGAGAAACATTTTAGTCTCTGGGGATGAGAGCGAGAGAAGAGAAAAAAAAGAGAGACACGTCGGGCCCAAGAGACAAAGGAAGAGGGCGATGGGGCAGGTGTGTGCGGGGCCGGTGTGTGTTTTCGAGCATCCAGTACCGGTCTCTCTCTTTCCCCCTCAGTCCTTCACATTCGATCTCCCTCCTTGGAAGAATCAGATGTTAGTAAACAAAAACACTCACAGGAATGGCCACCCTCCCTCCATTCATGCCACAAGCACACATTACACACCTGCCATGACAGGCACTGTGGGGTGCCACAGTTGGGCACAAAACTGACAGAAGTCCCTGCCTGGTGAGCTTCCCTTCTGCTGCCGCTTCTACCAAGGGGGAGATGACAAAACATATAAACAAACATGTGACGCGCAGAGCAATGCCACGTAGAGTAAAAGGCCAAGAGCAGGTTCCAGAGAAAAAGCAGGCATGGGGTCCGGGCGTGCCAGGGTTGGGGTTTTCATTTAAAGTGGAGTTGGGGCGGGGATGGGGGGGTGTCTCTGAGGGGGTGGCATTGGCAAGAAGCCCTGGGGAGGTGAGATGATGACACCTTCTGCTCTAGGTGGGGGGATCTTTCTCCTCTCAGCCTCTCTCAGAGAGGAAGCTTCATCCCCAGCGACTAAAATGTTTCTCTGTCTTCTCCTTGACCCTCTCTAACCCCTGATATATATATATGCCCTCCTCTCTCTCTCTCTCTCTCCCTCTCTCTCTCTCTCTTCCCCCCCCCCCACCCCCACCCCCGCTCTGTGTTTTCTGTGATTTGGTCTGAGGCCCCTTTCTGGATAGTGGCTAGAAACTCTGGCCCAGATCCAGGAGTCACCAGGGCGGTGGTCATGGGTGTTGACAGTGTGTCTTTCACAGGCTAGTTCTTTCTTCTGGTGGATGACATCATGCCTAGGTGTCTGGCAGGGGACCGGGTGTCACTCTCACAGGAAATTTGCATTGCCTGGTAAACACCCTTATGGCTCTTGTTTGATGTGTGTTCAGTTCCTTCCTAACAAGACAGGCAGCCTCCAGGACAGCCTTGAGTGAGGAGGAGAGTGAGGCTCAGGTATGTCTGTCAGATGAGACAAGGAAGAGACAGGAGATGCTGCGGGAAACACATAACATACAGCCGAGCACAGTGTCTCACGGCTGTGAACCCAGCGCTTTGGGAGGCTGAGATGGGAGGATTGCTTCAGCCCAGGAGTTCGAGACCAATCTGGGAAACATAGCAAGACCCCCATCTCTGAAAGTTAGCGGTCATGGTGGCGCGCGCCTCTTCCCTGTGACTCTGGAGGCTGAGGTGGGGGGATCGCTTGAGCCCCAGAGGTTGAGGCTGCAGTGAGCTATGATTGTACCACTGCACTCCAGCATAGGTGACAGGGCCAGACCCTGTCTCTAAAGAAAATGATCTGGCCAGGCATGGTGGCTCACACCTGTAATCCCAGCAGTTTGGGAGGCTGAGGCTGGCAGATCATGAGGTCAGGAGTTCAGGACCAAATTGGCCAACATAGTGAAACCTCATCTCTACTAAAAATACAAAAAATTAGCCTGGCGCGGTGGCGGGCACCTGTACTCCCAGCTGCTTGGGAGGCTGAGGCAGGAGAATCACTTGAACCTGGGAGGCAGGAGTTGCAGTGAGCCAAGACCGTGCCATTGCACTCCAGCCTGGGTAACAGACGGAGACTCTGTCTCTAAAAAAGAAAATAGAGAAAATAAAGATCCTAGAGACAAGAGGCCAACGGGAAGGTAGGGGAGCTCGCTGAGACACACACTCAACCAGTGGCTGGAAAGCAAGAAGAAAGGGAAGAAGCAGGCAGGGAGGTGGGGTCTGGGAGCCAAAGCCTTTACCGGGGTTCAGGGTGTTACCTGAGCAGGCTTCCCTTGGGGAGTTGTAATCTGGGACTTCAGAGCAAGCAGGAATGCTCCACGGAGATCCTGAGCCTGAGGCTCAGGTCTGCAGTCTGTGCAGGAAGGGGGCGTTGATGGGGTGCGTCGGGCGGGGTGCGGGTAGCTGCCCTGGAGGTGGTTGTATAGAACACGTGGCCAAGTCGATAACATTGAGGACCGACTTGGGAGGAGGCGGAGAATCGGAAACGGGAGGTGAAGCACCGCTCCTGGGGCCAGAAAACTAAATTTACATTCAAGTGGGGTGCTGAGGAAAGATAACATTATCAGAATTCACTCACACACACAATCCCTGCTTTCTGTCCCTGTCCTTCTCCGCCTCCTGCTCTCTCCCTCTCATTCTCCCACTCTCTCTCTCTCCCTGCTGCTCTCCTGCTCTCTCCCTCTCCCTCTCATTTTCCGCTCTCTCTCTCTCCCTCTTGCTCTCCTGCTCTCTCCCTCTCCCTCTCATTTTCTGCTCTCTCTCTCTCCCTCTAAGTTGTCCTCTCTGTCTCTCTCTCTCCCTCTCAATGTCCAGCTCTCTCTCCCTCCCCCATCTCTCTCTCCCCCTCCCCCATCTCTCTCTCCCCTGTCTGTTTCTGTGTTTTTTTCTCTCTCCTGATGGCTCTCTCTCTCCCTCTCTCTACCCGTCTCTCCTGACCCCTCTCTCCTTTAGATCTCTAGCCTTCTATCCCCCTCCCTTTTCTAATTTTTTGTTGTTTTTTGTTTGTTTGAGACAGGGTCTCTTTCACCCAGGCTGGAGTGCAGTGATGTGATCTTAGCTCACCGCAGTCTCAACCTCCCAGCCTCAAGCGATCCTCCAGCCTCAGCCTCCCAAGGGTAGCCAGGACCAGAGGCATGTGGCACCACACCTGGCTTTTCATTTTTTGTAGAGACGGGGTTTGACCACGTTGGCCAGGCTGGTCTCAAACTCCTGACCTCAGGCGATCCTCCCACCTCTGCCTCCTGAAGTGCTGGGATTACAGGCGTGAGCTGCCACACCCAGTCTATCCCTTGATCTCTAACTCTCGATTTCTACATCGGACTTTCTCTAGGACCCCCATGCCTCAGTCTCCCTAACCCTCCATCTCATCCCTCTGACCTGTGCCTCCAGGACCTCGGCAGGACCCCAGGCTACACTGGCAGGGGAGCCCAGCACTGGGCCGCTCCTTCCTGCGTGGACCAGAGCTGGACAACGGGCAGCTACGTATCCATCGTGGCGGCATCTACATGGTACACATCCAGGTGACGCTGGCCAACTGCTCCTCCAGGCCCCGCCCCCGCGCCACCCTGACCGTGGGAATCTGCTCTCCAGCAGCCCGGAGCATCAGCCTGCTGCGCCTCAGCTTCTACCAAGGTTGCTCCGTTGCCTCCCAGCGCCTGACGCCCCTGGCCCGAGGGGACATGCTCTGCACCAACCTCACAGGGACATTTACGCCTTCACGAAACACTGATGAGACCTTCTTTGGAGTGCAGTGGGTGCACCCCTGACCACCGCCTCTAGTTAGGGTTTTTTTAATTTTATTTTATTTTATTTAAGTTCAGAAAAAGAAAAAAAAAAATCATGTACACACCAGCCAGCCGGGGTTGGGAGTATATTGGGTTTTTTTCTTTGTTTTCATTTTCCTCTTAAAAATACAAAAATTAGCCTGATGTGGTGGTGTCCATCTGTAATCCCAGCTACTCAGGAGTCTGCGGCAAGAGAATTGCTTGAACCTGAGAGGCAGAGGTTGCTGTGAGCCGAGATTGCACGGCTGCACTCCAGCCTGGATGACGTCTCAGAAAAAGAAAAAAAAATGTTCTTGGTTAGGGATGTTTGAAGAATAGAGGAAGCTGGCTGGGCACGGTGACTCATGCCTGTAATCCCAGCACTCTGGGAGGCTGAGGCAGGCGGATAACTTGAGCCCAGGAGTTCAAGACCAGCCTGGGCAACATAGTGAGACCCCCATCTGTACAAAAAATACAAAAATTGCCAGGCGCGGTGGCACGTGCCTGTAGTCCCAGCTACTCGGGAGGCTGAGGTGGGAGGATCGCTTGAGTCCAGAAGTTCTGGGCTGTAGTGCGCTATGTCATCAGGTGTCCACACTAAGTTCAGCATCAATATGGTGACCTCCCAGGAGCAGGGAACCACCAGGTTGCCTAAGGAGGGGTGAACCGGCCCAGGTAAGAAACGGAGCAGGTGAAAACTCCCGTGCTGATCAGTAGTGGGATCGCGCCTGTGAATAGCCACTGCACTCCAGCCTGGACAATATAGGAGACCCGGTCTCTAAAAATATATATATACAAAAATTAACAAGATGTAGTGGTGTGCTAGTCCAAGGTACTCGGGAGGCTGAAGTGGGAGCCTGGATAGAGCCCAGGAGGTCAAAGGCTGCAGTGAGCCATGATCGCGCCACTCCAGCCTCAGCACCGGTGAGATTCCGTGTCAAAAAAAGAAAAAAAAAAGTTCTGTTTTCTCCTTGGTACATCTGTTTGTCAAAAAAGGAAACACAAAGGTCACTTACTTGGGTGACTGTCTCTCAAAGCAGACGATACAAAGTAACGATTTGGGAGGCCAGGGTGGGTGGATCACTTGAGATCAGGAGTTAGAGATCAGCCTGGCCAACATGGTGAAACTCTGTCTCTACTAAAAGTATGAAAATTAGCCATGCATGGTGGAGGGTGCCTGTAATCTGAGCTATGTAGGAGGCTGAGGCATGAGAATCATTTGAACCCTGGAGGCAGAGGTTCCAGTGAGCCAAGATATGCCACTACACCCCAGCTGGTGATACGTGCAGCAAACCATCATGGCACACGTTTATGTAACAAAACTGCATATCCTGCACATGTACCCCAGAACTTAATAAAACATCACTTGAGGTCAGGAGTTCAAGACCAGCCTGGCCAATGTGGCAAAACCCCATCTCTACTAAAAATACAGGGTCTTGTCTGTCACCCTGGCTGCAGTGCAGTGGCGTGATCCTGTCTCACTGCAGCCTCAAACTACTGGGCTTAAATGATCCTCCCCACTCAGCCTCCCAAATAGCTGGGACCACAGGCCTGTGCCAACACACCTGGCTATTCTTTTTTTTTTGAGATGAAGTCTCGTTATGTTGCCTAAGCTGGTCTCAAACTCCAATCTCCTGGGAAGCCAATCTTCCCGCCTCAGCCTCCCAAAGTGCTGGGATTACAGGCATGAGCCACTGCACTGGAACTTGAATGCATTTTGGAACTGAGAATTTTCCAGTATTGGGCCAGCCACGGTGGCTCAAGCCTATATGTAATCCCAGCACTTTGAAAGGCCAAGGCGGGCAGATCACTTGAGGTCAGGAGTTCGAGACCAGCCGGGCCAACATGGTGAAACCCTGTCTCTATTAAAAATACAAAAATTAGCTGGGTGTGGTGATTCGCATCTGTAATCCCAGCTACTTGGGAGGCTGAGGCAGGAGAATCGCTTGAACCCAGGAGGTGGAGGTGCGCCAAGATCGCGCCACTGCACTCCAGCCTAAGCAACAAGGGTGAAACTCCATCTCAAAAAAAAAAAAAAAAAAAAAGAATTTTCCAGTATTTAAAGATGATGTACAAGACTTATACCACCTTTTAATCATCACTTCAATGGGGTCGGGACAGCATTTTGTAATCAAACACCATATCTATTTTTTTGTTTTTTTACAGTGAGAGTTGTTAACATTCATACTAAGTGGGATAAAAATCAAGACTACAGCCAGGCACAGGGGCTCACACCTGTAATCCCAGCACTTGAGGAGGCCAAGGCAGGTGGATCACCTGAGGTCAGGAGTTCGAGACCAGCCTAGTCAACATGGTGAAACCCCATCTCTACTGAAAATACAAATTTAGCCAGGCGTTGTGGCAGGTACCTGTAATCCCAGCTACTTGGGAGGCTGAGGCAGGAGAATCATTTGAACTCAGGAGGTGGAGGCTGCAGTGAGCCGAGATTGTGCCACTGCACTCCAGTCTGGGTGATAAGAGCAAAACTCTGCCCCCTGCAAAAAAAATCAAAACTATATGTACCAACTGGCTAACATGGTGAAACCCCATCTCTACTAAACATAAAAATTAGCTGGGTGTGGTGGTGGGTGCCTGTAATCCCTGCTACTAGGGAGGCTGCATCAGGAGAATCACTTGAACCTAGGAGGTGGAGGTTGCAGTGAGTTGAGATAGTGCCGCTCCACTCCAGTCTGGGTGAGGTCAAGGGATCCAGACCATCCTGGCCAACATGGTGAAACCCGGTCTCTGCTAAAAATTCAAAAATTAGTCGGGTGTGGTGGCACATGCCTGTAATCCCAGCTACTTGGGAGGCTGAGGCAGGAGAACCACTTGAACCCAGGAGGTGGAGGTTGCAGTGAGCTGAGATGGCACCATTGCACTCCAGCCTCGTGACAGAGTGAGACTCTGTCTCAAAAAAAAGAAAAGAAAGAAATAAGCCAGCCAAAAAGGGAGAATATTGTATAAACTAACCGACAGGAATCTACCACATATGACTAAACTGCTCACAGGAATATAAAATAGAATTTTTTAGATGTACAGTCTTTGAGGGTTTCTTTGTGTTTCTACCAATCGAGAATTTTTCATCAGGTGCTTAACATTCACTTGAATCATTTCTATTTTATTTTTTGTTTATTTGAGATGGAGTTTCACTCTTGCCACCCAGCCTGGAGTGCAGTGGCACAGTCTCTGATCACTGCACCCTCCGCCTCCCAGGTTCAAGTGATTCTCCTGCCTCAGCCTCCCGAGTAGCTGGGATTACAGGTGGCTGCCACCACCCCCGGCTAATTTTTGTATTTTTAGTAGAGATGGAGTTTCATCCTGTTGCCCAGGCTGGTCTCGAACTCCTGACCTCAGGTGATTTACCTGCCTCCGCCTCCCAAAGTGCTGGGATTACAGGTGTGAGCCACTCTGCCCAGCCTCGTATTTTCTTTTCTATAAAACCATGTGTATACACTCTTTTTTCAAAAATTGAGGTGAAAATCACATAACATCAAATAAGTTATTTTTTCCTTTCTTTCTTTCTTCCTTTCTTTTTGATACAGGGTATTGCCTGTATCAAAACTCCTAGCTGGAGCGCAGCTTAAACATAGCTCACTGCAGACTCCTTGGCTGAAGCCTCTGGCCTCAGCCTCCCTGAGTGCTGGGATTACAGGTGTGAGCCACTGTACCCAGCTGAAATTAACCCTCTTCACGTGGGCAATTCAGTAGTATTTAGTACATTCACAATATAGTGCAACCACCACATATATCAATTTTCAAAACATTTTTATCACCTCAAAAGGAAATTCAGTCGGGCGCGGTGGCTCATGCCCATAATCCCAGCACTTTGGGAGGCCGAGGCAGGCACATCATTTGAGGTCAGGAGTTCAAGGCCAGCCTGACCAACATGGTGAAACCCCGTCTCTACTAAAAATACAAAAAAATTAGCCGGGCATGGTGGCGGACACCTGTAGTCCCAGGCAGGAGAATCAGTTGAACCTGGGAGGCGGAGATTGTAGTGAGCCAAGATTATGCCACTGCACTCCAGCCTGGGTGAGAAAATGAGATTCCATTTCCAAGGAAATTCATCGATGTCCAGAAACAGTGAATCACCATCCTGTCCACCTCCTAAAAAGGAAATTCAATGTCTGTTAACATGGCCGGGTGTGGTGACTCACGCTTGTAAGCCCACCACCCTACAACCAAGACAGAGGCGGGTGAATCACTTGCGGTCAGAAGGGCCAGATCAGCCTGGCTTATGTGGCAAAACCCTGTCTCTATCAAAAGTACAAAAAAAAAAAAAAAATTGTTGGGCATGGTGGCAGGCACCGGTAGTCTCTGCTACTCTGGAGGCTAGGGCGGGAGAATCACTTGCACCCAGGAGGCAGAGGTTGCAGTGAGCTGAGATTGCACCACATCCAGCTAATGTTTTTGTATTTTTAGTAGAGACAGGGTTTTATATGTTGACCAGGCTGGTCTCAAACTCCTGATTTCAGGTGACTCACCTGTCTTGGCCTCCCAAAGTACTGGGATTACAGGCATGAGTCACTGCACCTGACCTCATCTTTTAAAATTTAGCATTAAACTTGTACATCCAGATTAATAGGAGAGAAAACAGAGATGTTCACTGTCGTAAATTTACTCTGTAAAAAGGAAGGACTGGTATTTTGATGAATCTGTGTAATTCACGAGTTAATCAACCACACCTTGTACATAGTCTTTTTTAAGGGTGATGGTAAAGCTTCATGAGTACGTTGTGCTGAGATAGAAAAACTGCATCTCAGTCGGGCGTGGTGGCTCACACCTGTAATCCCAGCACTTTGGGAGGCCGAGGCAGGTGGATCACCTGAGGTCAGGAGTTCGAGACCAGCCTGGCCAACATGGTGAAACCCTGTCTCTATAAAAATACAAAAATTAGCCAGGTGCAGTGGTGGGCAACTGTAATCCCAGCTACTCAGGAGGCTGAGACAGGAGAATCGTTTGAATCCGGGAGGCAGAGGTTGCAGTGAGCTGAGATTGTGCCACTGCACTCTAGCCTGGGTGACAGAGCAAGGCTCTGTCTGAAGAAAAAGAAAAAAAAAAAAAAAAAAAGAGCCAGGTGCAGTGGCTCATGCCTGTAATCCCAGCACTTTGGGAGACCAAGGCAGGCAGAGCACCTAAGTTAGGAGTTCAAGAA